TCAAAAAAATTAGCCAATACAAAAATATTTTGAATATTTTGAATTTTTTGAATTTCAAAATATTCAAAATATTCAAAAAATTTAGCCAATACAAAAATATTTTGAATATTTTGAATTTTTTGAATTTCAAAATATTCAAAATATTCAAATATTCAAATCTAATGAACTTCTCCCAAAAGTCTCTCCTGAACTCTTTTTTGGTGAATTTCATTATTTTGTTTGAAATTTTTTGATATTTTTGAAAATATTTTGAATTTTTTGAATTTCAAAATATTCAAAATATTCAAAAAATTTAGCCAATACAAAAATATTTTGAATATTTTGAATTTTTTGAATTTCAAAATATTCAAAATATTCAAAAAATTTAGCCAATACAAAAATATTTTGAATATTTTGAATTTCAAAATATTCAAAATATTAAAAAAATTTAGCCAATACAAAAATATTTTGAATATTTTGAATTTTTTGAATTTCAAAATATTCAAAATATTCAAAATATTCAAAATATTCAAAATATTCAAAATATTCAAAATATAATGAACTTCTCCCAAAAGTCTCTCTGAACCTCTTTTATGTGATTTCATTATTTTTTAAATATTTTGAATATTTTCAATTTTTTGAATTTCAAAAAATTCAAAATATTCAAAAAATTTAGCCAATACAAAAATATTTTCAATTTTTTGAATTTCAAAATATTCAAAATATTCAAAAAATTTAGCCAATACAAAAATATTTTGAATATTTTGAATTTTTTGAGTTTCACAATATTCAAAATATTCAAAAAATTTAGCCAATACAAAAATATTTTGAATATTTTGAATTTTTTGAATTTCAAAATATTCAAAATATTCAAAAAATTTAGCCAATACAAAAATATTTTGAATATTTTGAATTTTTGAATTTCAAAATATTCAAAATATTCAAAAAATTAGCCAATACAAAAATATTTTGAATATTTAGAATTTTTAGAATTTCAAAGTATTCAAAATATAATGAACTTCTCCCAAAAGTCTCTCTGAACCTCTTTTTGGCGTCTGGGTGGGAGATTGCTTTCAATTTGAAATGGAATCAAATAGTCAACGGTCAAATAGCACATGAAGGTCCATCGTACATATATATATATATTTAACGTCTATATAGAATTCAGATGTTTCGGGGGCATTTGCTGCGGAGGCATTCTAACCCTACAAAAATCAACAAGGTTTGGTGGCCCCGGCAAACCAAGCTTTTGGTCGGTTTTGGGCTACGGTTTTTACGTTTTTTTTTTGGGGTTTTGATGAGTTTTTACAGGTTTTCGGCGGTTTTTTTGTCGGATTGTGGCGAAGCTGCTTCATCAAAGGTTTTGTTGATTAAAATTTGTTTTTTAGCAGAAACCAACTCAAAACCAGGTTTTGATAGCTCGACCCGCGTTTTTCAGGGATTTGGTTGATGTAGGATATATGATGATGATATCAAACTGTGGTAAGTACTTATCTCAACCGTCATTGCAGAGCAAAATTTCATTTATATATTGAAAATCTATATAGAATTTAGAAGTTTTGGGGGCATATGCTCCGGAGGCATTCTAACCCTACAAAAATAAACAAGGTTTGGTGGCCCCGGCAAACCAAGCTTTTGGTCGGTTTTGGGCTACGGTTTTTACGTTTTTTTTTTTTAAAAAATGGGTTTTGATGAGTTTTTACAAGTTTTCGACGGTGTTTCTACGGGTTGTGGCGAAGCTGCTTCATCAAAAACCAGGTTTTGTTGACTAAAACCTGTTGTTCTCGCAGAAACTATATAGCTCAAAACCAGGTTTTGATACCTCGACCCGTTTTTTTTCAGGGATTTGGTTGATGTAGGATATAAATATACGTAATATATATATATATGTATATATATATATTTAACATCTATATAGAATTCAGCTGTTTTGGGGGCATTTGCTGCGGAGGCATTCTAACCCTACAAAAAAGAAAGGTTTGGTGGCCCCGGCACAACAGGTAGGCAAATTTGATCATACAATTTTTGAACATTTTTATCCACATTTACCAGCATAATACGTACTGAAAGGTAGAATTTTGGTAGATTTGTTCAGACAATTATGGTGTGGCATTCTAACTTTCAATGGATTTTTTTTGGGTGGCAATGGCAGCATTCTAACTTTCAGTTGTCGGGTATAGTTTTTTATTAGAAATCGATCATTTGGGGGATGCGTTTTTTTTCCAGTTTTGGCGTCTTGAAATTGCAACATTGCAAAAGTATATTATACTTGCGAGGTGGATGAGGAAAGATCGGGCAATGTTGATGTAGTTGTTGAAATAATTCATTGCTTAATTGATTGCAATCTGAAGCACGCATACAAAAAAACTTCTCGCGGCTGGCTGGGGTTTACTAATTGGGGGGGGCGTCCTTTTACTCGTATTTGTGGGGGGACACCGCTCAAGGGGGGTAGCCTTTCTGAGCTTCCAAAAACAGCATTTGTTAATTAGATTTTATATAATTACAGTAGAAATCGATCATTTGGGGGATGCGTTTTTTTTTCCAGTTTTGGCGTCTTGAAATTGCCACATTGCAAAAGTATATTATACTTGCGAGGTGGATGAGGAAAGATCAGGCAATGTTGATGTAGTTGTTGAATAATTAATTGATGGCAACTCCACAAAAAACATCTCAAACCAGTCTGTTTGGCAATAGTGCGGCTTCAACCTACTGAAAGCACAGCTCTTGCAATGAAAGAGAGCCACCTCTTCCCAACATGATGAGCCAACCCACAAAAATCATCTGAAACCAGTGTGTTTGAAAATAGTACGGCTTCGACCTACTGAAAGCACAGCTCTTGCAATGAAAGAGAGTCACCTCTTCCCAACGTGATGAGCCAACCCACAAAAAACCTCTGAAACCAGTGTGTTTGGCAATAGCGCGGCTTCGACCTAATGAAAGCATTGGCAGAGAAAGAAGCACAAGCATTCAAGCCAGCTGTGTGCCACCCCCGGGCTGCAAGACGCACCCCCCGGGAATCGAAGCCGGGTCAAGGGGCTCAAAGCCTATTCTACACCACTATGCCACGGGGGCTTGCCCTAAATGGCAAGAAAAGGCTTTATAGAACCACTGACTGGGCCTGGAAGGGGGTTGCCGGAATCAAAAACACAATGCGCAACAGCCCCCTAACCCCCCAACCAAACCCGCAGCCAAACCCCCAAACAACCCCCCCAATTAATGAAACCCCCCCAAATAACCCTCCCCAACCCTTTGGTAGTGGCCTCCAGCTTACGAAAGGCTCTTGCAACGATAAAAAGCAACCTTTTCCCATCATCATGATCCAAAAAACCTCTGAAACCAGTGTGTTTGGCAATAGTGCGGCTTCGACCTACTGAAAGCACAGCTCTTGCAATGAAAGAGAGCCACCTCTTCCCAACATGATGAGCCAACCCACAAAAAACCTCTGAAACCAGCGTGTTTGGCAATAGTGCGGCTTCGACCCCCTGAAAGCACAGCCCTTGCATTGATAGAGGGTGCCTTCAAGATGCCCTCTTAATTTTGGTTGTGGCTTATCCGGATCCACTTGTATATGTGCATATCAAATTACGTCGTCGTCGTCGTAGTAGTAGTAGTAGTAGCCGTAGTAGCAGTAGCAGCAGTAGCAGTAGAGTAGCAGTAGTAGTAGTAGTAGTAGTAGCAGTAGTAGCAGCAGTAGCAGCAGCAGCAGCAGCAGGAGTAGTAGTAGTAGTAGTAGTAGTAGTAGTAGCAGTAGTAAAAAATGTGCCGCGTTGCAAGAGCATACTTTCGAGGTGGATGAGGAAAGATCAGATTCCTATGAGAAAAGCTATGCAAACCTATGGTAAACCATCAGATTCCTACGAGGGAAGATTCGAAAATGAATGGTAAACCATGAGATTCCGATGAGAAAAGATTAGAAAACCTATGGTAAACCATCAAATTCCTATGAGGGAAGATGAGGAAACCACGTAGAAACCATCAAATTCCTATGAGGGAAGATTCGAAAATGAATGGTAAACCATGAGATTCCTGTGAGAAAAGATCAGAAAACGTATGGTAAACCATCAAATTCCTATGAGGGAAGATGAGGAAACCACGTAGAAGCCATCAAATTCCTATGAGGGAAGATTCGAAAATGAATGGTAAACCATCAGATTCCAATGAGAAAAGATAATAATACCTATGGTAAACCAAAATAGGAAGTAACCCTGGAAATTGTAACCCGAATTAAAAAGAAAAAGGGAGTAATAGCAAATTAGTTCCACCAAAAAAATAGGGATCCCAGAGGGGCTTCGCTAATTAGGGGGGGAAATCAGCACGTAGAGGACTTTAGTATTCCCCCAAAATTTTCGGAGGGAAGGGGCTTCGCTAATCCGGGGGTTTTATTAATCCTGACTTGTCATTACAGGCCAACAGTACTGTGCTTATCACCTTCCCAGGATCCAGGAACTGTGGACGAAATTTGGTGCTGTTTTGCCTGGCTCAGAATCTCTTCAGAACGGGCCAATTCTTGGTGAAGTTTTTGGAATCATACCCTCTGGCAATATAGAGTCTCAAAACATATCCCTACACCCATGGTTGAATCATCATTTTCCCTCTTAAAATAACCATAACTGGGAGTGTACCCCAGTTTCAGACTCACCCATATGACCAGGTCCCTGAACATGTGGATTTCTGTTCCAGGGAAGTGACATTGCAATTGAGGGGGGTCATCAAATTGATCAATTTCCATATAATATGATAATCCTTGGCTGCCATGATGCCATGTTTACCATCCCCAAGTCATTCACCATTTTGATGGGTTGTTTAAACCATCCCCAGTCATGGTAGCTGTTTATTATGTCATCGGGTTTACCACATCCATAATCAAGATTCTTTACTAGAATTAGTCTTAGTATTAGCCATCAATCATCAGATATCATCAGTGTTAAGCCATTAAATCCCATTATTCTTTTGATATAACCATTAATTATTTGTTGGGTTTCAAAAGGTTTCTCAGGCTCACCTTCCCGCCGACCTCGAAGGAAATTCTTCAATTCGTCGCCTCTCCATGTCTTGCTCGCAACTTGGTGACGGGGGCGGCCGAGAGAGACCGATGAAGGATAGGAAAGCAGCCAGCAACTGGGTTCCATTCGGATACCAGTACCCCCATGACTTAGGACACCTCCAAAGATGTCTTTTATTCACCAACAAAGACAAAAGAGTGTACATGTATATACAGTTATATACATGTTAAAACCGACAAGATCATAGCCAATTCTAAACACCGTGGGATATATAGTTCGATGTACCCAAACTATACCTATCTAATTATGTATGTATACATATACAAATATACATATGTATATATATATATGATTATATATGTATGGTTTGGATCTACCCAAAAATATAATTACAACTAGCCTAATCATATATATATGTATATGATATGTATATATTTTGTGTATGTGTGTATATATATATATATACACATATGCAGATATACATCTATGTACACACACACACACCATTACCGGCACTACCGGACCAATACCGGACCCCCGCCTGAAGCCATTGGCTTTGGGGAGAGAAGGGGGTGGGCGCTGCTACAACTCGCCGCAGGGTCAATTACTGAAAAGGCTTTGTTGTATGTGAACGAAAAAATGATGTATGAGGTGGTTCAGATCCATCATAATATAATGATAGTATAGATATGTATAGATATAGTGTGGTAGGCCCAACAATAGTCAATAGACCTATACTATTTGGGGATGGTTTATACCACCATACCCATTTCGGGCCACATTGCGTATGGTCATAATTGGATTTTCCACAATCTTTTGGGTTTAATCCTTTCTTAATCAAAAGTACACTATACCAAGCATGTGTTCAGGTGGTGCCCATGGGTTCCGTGGGACTTCTCTTGATCTATCACATCTTCGATATCATTCGCGAGCGCATCGCGCACATGGATGACGGAGAAAAGGACTGGGTGGACGACCGAGAACTGGGAGGCTCAGGAGGTTTGTTTTACTCGATGCAAGCATCTACTACATAAATATGTATCAATGCAACACAACAAAGACATACAAACATAACCTTGTATTGAAGGATTATGATATGTATTTACATAACTAGGACATATTCCGAAAGGTTTCAATATTCTCTTCATTTTTTGATCCTGTATTTGCAGGCTCAAAGGGCTCAATTCATGGGTATCTGATGTGTATCTACATTTGGATTTGTTTAATGGGATATACTGGTATACTTACTCCCAACTTGCCATTTTAGTGGGAACCTGATGGAATGCTAGGGGATTGAGGGGAGTACCGCATTGTTAGAGAAACCCATCTAAATTCTACATGTTGATTTGTTGTCATTATATACATATACATGGATTATTGTCGCCTGAGGAAATTGACTCTACACTTGCATTGTTTCCATGTTAGGTCAGGGGTCAGTACTGTACTATCTGTGAGCCACTCAGTCCACTTCCTCTGGTAGTCAAAGATTGGCATCATGCCCTAAGCTTGTGGAATCAGAACTTGTGAGATTTGCAAATGAAAAGAGAGCACTATTTCTACTAGGGCCCCCCGGCCAAGAAACACCCACATGTGGCACGCAGTAGGTGTTGAAGTTGACTACGGTCATGATCATTCAAAAAGAGACAAGTTTGGCTGTCCCAGTCCTCCAAGATTGTGTGCCACTATGAAAACGAGTGCCTTTTTGTTGTTCCAACCATAGCAACCATGTGTCAAAAAACTGCCTATGTCCCAAAAGTTTGAGCTTCTTACACCTACAAGACGGTAGTTTTTAAATTTTACATGTCTTTACCATATCTTTCTCATGAGTTACAGCCCATTATCAATCCCACGATCAAAACAGCTCCATTCACGGCTGGTGAATAGCTGCATCAATTCCTGGAGGATGAGTATGAAGAAAAGTGGGATGAAGAAACTGAGGAGGCCGAGAATGATGTGGCAGGCGCGATTTACGGCAGTTAGTCGAAGTAGATGACTTTAGCTATGTCATTCAGAGACTATACGTAATATTGCGTGATTTACATGAAACATGTATGTTCAATGTATGTATACATACATACATCCTTAATGCATGCATGCATACATACATAACACTCCACAGCACAACACAACACAACGCAACACTACGTTTCACTACAATACATGCATACATACAGGCATACATGCACACATACCTAGCTACCTACCTACAAACCTACCTACAAACCCACATGCCTACTAATGCACCTACATATACCTACATATACCTACATATACCTACATATACCTACATATACCTACATATACCTACATATACCTACATATACCTACATATACCTACATATACCTACGTATTTGCCCATATTTATACCTAGAGAGAGAGAGAGAGAAATAGATGGATGGATGGATGGATTGATTGATTGATTGATCTATTGATGAAGGATCCGTCGATGAATGGATAGATGGAGATGGATAGATCGAGATGAATAAATAGAGCGATGAATCGATACAGTAGATAGATAGAAAGATAGATAGATAGATAGATAGAATGATAGATAGAATGATAGATAGAATGATATATATATATATATATACAAATACATACACACATATATATATACATACACATAGATATATATATATACATACATATATATATGAATATATATATACATATGTATATATACAATGATATATAGATATATTGATATATATATATATACAATGATCAATCAATATAGCGATAGATCCATATATTGATGATTAATAATGATAGGTAGATAATGATAGATAGATAATGATAGATAGATAATGATAGATAATGATATATATATATATACACATATCTAATTATAGATAGAATGATATATATATATATAATGATATCTATATATATAATGATATATATATATTCTGATATTTGGATGTACATAGATAGACAGATAGATTAGATTAGATTAGATTTGATTAGGTTAGATTTGATTTGATTTGATAGATAGATAGAACTATAGAAAGAAATATAGCTAGATAGATTGATCGATAAATCGATAAATCGATAGATCTATAGATCGACAGATCGATAGATTGATAAATCGATAGATTGATAGATCAATAAATCGATCGAACGATAGATCGATGGATCGACAGATAGATCGATCGATAGATCAATAGATCGTTAGATAGATATATGGATAGATAGATGGGTAGGTAGCTAGGTAGCAAGGTGGCTAGGTAGCTAGGTAGCTAGGTAGATAGGTAGATGGATATATGGGTAAATAGTTAGATGGATGGATGGATGGATAGGTAGATAGATGTACAGACAGATAGATAGCTAGGTGGATAGATGGAGGGATGGATGGATGGATAGACAGATAATATACCTGGCCTGGCCTAGCAGTGCATAGCCCAGCATACCATAGCAACATATATGTAATTATATGTGTATATGTGTATATATATATATACACAGTATATTCGGACATTTACACATATGCATATGAATATGTATATATACATAGATTTAGGCAGTTCGTGCAGCAGATATGTGCAAGTATTTCGATTGTTTTTGCCCTGTATGTGTATTACGTAGGAATAAATCACATCACCACAGCCCGAACGTGAGGCCTTTCAAGATGACTATCCATGGTGCCGGAGTTTTGCCAAGTAATCTGTGTCTGATTATCTTCTGGTAAGCTAACAGTTTGCTATGGAAAATCACCATCCTTAATAGATAAATCAACTATTTCTATGGGCCATTTTCAATAGCAAACTGTTAAACTACCAGAGGGCACACGGTACTAACTTTCTAAACTTCGGATATGTGCCATACCCATAGAATACTCAAGTGTAACTCATGGATATACTGCGGGGGTATAGCCATCAACGGACTAAAGTACACCCATCGATGGCTTCCCAGCGATGTATACTGGTGCTAAAAACTCACCTATGATATTACCATAATCATTGTGGTAAACCAAGTTGCAAGCAGTTCTGATTGTTTTCAACAAAGAAGTGTTATAATCCATCCCAGTTTGAGACTGTTTGTCCACGTTTTTCCTCTATTGACTGGTTGGGGACATCAAACATATTGATTTAAATTTATTGACATATATATATATTGACATATTGCAATTTGGACCATGATTTGACCACATTTATACAGGATGCGAAAAACATATCCGCCATGATTTCGCTTAATTATTTCCCCTTGCTTCACAAGGTGGTGCCCTCTACTTATAAGTTGGTTTGCAACCCCATCTAACTGTAGTCATGAGAACCATAGCCCCTTATAGTCAATCTAGATATAAACCAACTTGGCCATTCCGAACTAGGGCACCGCCCAACTCAGGCTTTGATGTTATATCGATATATCACATTGTTTCCGGATTAAATATGATATAATGCCACCGTTTATAGATGAGTATCCCATTCTCTCAACTTTTGATGGACGAACTCTCCCATATCTCATTTACTAAGTTGAGTAATGTTGCTTATATATATATATCCTAGTACCTCCCATTCATATGGCATATTTACATCTGTATATATATATGCACCGTATGGTTATTTAACATAGCCATGGAAAATCACCATTTTTAAGTTCGGTAAACCATCTATTTCGATTAGGGCCATCTATGCCATGGCTACGTTAGTCAAAACCAGAGGGTATATCCCATTAATATCCCATTGAATCACTATAAAATCCCATTAAATCACTATAAAATCCCATTGAACCACTATAATATCCCATTAAACCAGGCCGCGTATATAAATGATACCAGTTCAATCCATCGGCGCCGCCGTCGCGCCGTGAGGTTTGTCCATGTCCTTCTTGACCGTGCAGGCCATGCGGTTTGCCATCAGCGGAATACTGCCTAACCAGGAAGGTGCACACCGGGCCCCTGGAGGTTTCCTGTGGGTCAAAAAAAACATGGCCCTTTTTAGGGGAACACAGGAATGAGAAACTATGGAATAGTGAATAGTGAATAGTTATGATTGAGATGGTCCTGTGAAAACAGATCGCAGCAACAGCTTGGCTTCAACCAGTATATATGTATATGTATATACTTTATGTGTATAATATATATATATATATATATGAAGGTTTCCTGAAATAGAGGTACCCCCAAATCATCCAGTTTAGTAGGTTTTCCCATTATAAACCATCCATTGGGGGTACCCACATTTATGGAACCCCCCAATATATATACATATATATATATATATTTAGACATGTATGTATGTATGTATGTATGTATGCATGTATGTATGCATGTATGTATGCATGTATGTATGTATGTATGTATATATATATATACATACACACTGTATGTAAAAAGATAGATAGTGCCATATATATATATATATGTATATATACATATATATATATGGGCACTATGATGATTGAGCATGATCACATGAGGTTTGAGAGTATTTTCACACAAACCCAAGCCTGTTTTCTTATTTGTTCTTTTGTTGATCAGACCAGGGTAGTATTTTTAAATGTTGCAAAAATCGTTTGTACCCAAGATTGCAATTGACACGCATATTTCAGGTTACCAAGCCGAATAAACCACTCGGGGATGATATGAACCAACAAGAGCAGACAAGAGGTTCTTTAAACATACCCTCTGGTGAACTAACATAGCAATGGAAAATGACTATTTATAGTGGATTTTCCCATTAAAAATGGGTGGATCTTTCCATTGCTATGTTAGTTCACCAGAGGGTATCACCGTAGTAGAATTGGGGCCATCTGGCATTGTGCCCAGTGAGCAGGTCTCGAACCCTGGGGGGCAGCCATCAGTCACACGCCGCATCAATGTCCCTTGGCTTGATAAGGCAACGTTGTTTGCTGTAGAGCTGTAGTATATCAAGTAGTGATGCGTATATGCAGATGCTAAGTATATGGTTGATGTGTATTCATACATGTATATATGAATGTGCCATATTCATCCATATCAGTGCAGGTTTCTTGTTGATGTGTTTTATTTGTAGAAAAATGATACTGTAGCCTTGAATTCTGTAGTTCTTCCACAGCGACTCGAATGTGGTCACTATTGCCTTGACTTGGCTAAAATTTCGTCTCTCGTTCACACGAAAAATAACCACCCAAGTTGGACACCCTGCTTTAGTATTAAGTGGCGTTCATTTTGGGTGCCCATATTATGGGGGATATTTTTCATGTTGGGGGGATGGGATCAGCATTGCGATTCGAAACCAATGGGATCAGCGTAGGTTGTGCAGCCGAAGGTTGTTGCGTTCAGCAGTCCCAACAACTTAAATGGTTGTTGAATTGTCTTGGTTACATTGTTTGATATCGCCATTGTCGCCATGTCTTGTAGTTTTACCAGTTTTGTCGATGATTTATTCCTATCATTGTTGATCAGACGTTCCCATGTTTGCTGTTTGAGACTCATGCAACCCTGAATGAAGTTGCAGGTTCTGTATCATAATATGTATGATAGTGACAATGATGATCATCAATTGTCTTACCCAGCTCTTTACCCATCCAGATAGAACTCCCTATAGATTAATTATATATTTATATATATTTATTTATACATTTATACACATATATGATCATATTTGCATCATGTGAACATACCGTTTCATCCAGTTCCACATGGTCAGGTCATTTGCTGATGGGTTGTGGCTTCATTTTCTTCTTGTTGTCCATGGCGGAAGCTTGGCGGAGATGGTGTCTTCACTTTGAGGGTGACCCAGAAGTGAAAAGGCCATTGAAAGAATGGGGCAAATGGTGATTGACCATCACTGGTTGGTGGTTTGGAACATTTTTTATTTTTCCATATATTGGGAATAATGATACGAACTGACTAATATCTTTCAGAGGGGTTGAAACCACCAACCAGATCAAGATGTTCCCTTTTTCCCCTACATTTTCAGACAAACCTAGATTTGTTACCAGTGTGGGGCTAAATCTGAAGAAATCATGTCCAGCTTTGTGCAAAAATGGTGGATAAATCGGGGTGCCCAAAAATACGGCAACTTTAATGGGAAAAAGATATGTTCTGGACCATGAGATTTTGGTGTTTTCCCAACATTTACAGACAAACCTAAGTAGGTACAACTGGATGTTGCTTAAGGAGAACACTTTTTGGTTCACAACTGGGAACGGGGAAATCTCGGAGTGTACAAAGGTTGTAATTCCAAGTTACTACCGAAAATTCATGTAGACATGGGAAACCCACCATTCTTAGATTATAAAGATTCGTGGGGAAACCATGGGTTTTCCATAAGTCAGCTGACTGAAGGGAAAATGGATCCCGCTCATCCCAGTTCGTATGTGGTTGATTAGTTAATTACCCTTCTTTAGCGATATTTCAAATATCATTGGGTTAACATGGTTGGGCCAAATGGGATGCACATCCCATACACACATTCTATGATACTCAGATGTTTCCAGGAGATCTCTTGAGGTTTTTGAGGCATCTTGGGACGATCCGGTCCCAAGGTCCCAAAAAAGTGGCGGTTGGTTCCTGATTTTTCCTGGCGGCTTGACAGTTTAATTACTGTAACAGTGAAATCCCCAGGTGTTATGCTTCATTCTGCCTGATTGATGATTCCAACATATTCCAACGGGTTTTTCCTCGCCAATTTTGCCGAAAAAAACAATGTTTGTTGATGGTTACGTCCCAAATGTGGTTGATGATTAAACCATATATCCTTCGTCTGTTTCTGAACCACCATCTTTGGTTGAATTTCCGGGGCATTTCTGTTGGAAATTCCTGGCTGTTTGTTGTTGCTTTACATCCCTACAGTATACCCGTGATCATGGGGTTTACAGGGTTATGAACCATGAACTAAACATCCCAATATTATGTTGCTTAATCATTTTTACTAGTACATAGCTGCTTGATCATTTACATATACACATGTTCAGCTGGTTAATGACTATATAATAAACATATATCCCCATTTACAGGTACTTCACAAACACGAGGTTTATAAATGTCTTCAGTCGTTTATGGTTTCCAACCACTGTTAACCACTATTAATTACTATCAACCACTGTTAACCCTATGGTTTCCTGTTGAATGCCCTGTTGATTCCCATGTTTCGGTTTCTAGGTCCTGAACTCTGAGAGGATCGTGGAAACGCCCGAACGCCTGGAGAGGCCCGGGGATCCGAATCCTACACCAGGGATGAAAACAGAAGGGTTAGCAAGTTTAGAAAAATTACATAACTTTACCTCTGTTTAAAGATGTTTAAAGGGAATCTCACTTGTATACGTACTGTTTTGAATTGTGGTTGCAATACCAAACGGTTTGTCTGATGTTTTCTTGGTTTTGATGAAGGTACATGGAGGTAAAGATTTGATACATGCATGTACCATACTTGTACGCGAATGATCTCGATTACTGGAAACGTTCATGGGATAGTGCCCCTGCTTAACTTCGCAAATCACGAATCGTCAACCCTCTGGGAATATCCCTTGACAGCTTGGTCTGCAGGGCTCAAAAGCCGCAATGTCATTGCATTGTACTGGTTTGTTGAGAATGGAGTTACCATTTCATGGATCGTGATCATTCCCAGTATACTGGATAGTTAAAACCCCGTGCAATCATCAACTGACTGGACGTTGAACACTGCTCTGATTGGAGTTTCTAGGATTGGTAATATGGATATGTAACCATTAGTTTGTGAGGGTGTTGGGCCATCCACCAACTGTTCAAAGTATATAGTCATGAAATCTGATGAACGCTTGAACAGAGATGATACCCTTTGGTTATTTAACATAGCCATGAACAATGGCCCATTTATAGATGATTTTCCCATTAAAACCTCAATTTATGATGGATTTTCCATGGCTATGTAAAATAACCAGATGGATCAGATGGTATGTTTTCTTTTGAGTTTACAATTCCATACTTCAGACTGAACTCGGCCAGTAAACCCTGTAAAAACTACCTAGGGCCTATAGTAGGGGATAGGTTTTCCATGGCGACGCCTTCCAACTTCCCAAGGATGGGTATTCCTCGGTAGTCCAGCGGTCGCTACCAAGATCGATCTGGAGCGTTGTTTGATATTCCCAGAGAACTATGATTCAAAACGGTATATTATATATTATATTTTGAGTTATATACATTAATGTATTGTGATACTAATCGAAGGAAGTTTGGAAGTCAAACTTCCGACAATGTGGAGAGATGAAAAAGCAGTCAGCAGGGAGAAGAGTCAGAAGAGAAAAGATCAGAAGAAAGAAGATGCAGGTGCGCGAAAAGGTAGGAAAGTCGCGAAACACAGTGTTTTTTTTCGTGGTTTTGTGGCTCCGGAGGGTTGAAAAGTAGGCTCGCTAAAGCGGCGGGTGCGGAGACATCTGGGGAGATGAGAGATGAAAAGTTGCACGCCGTTGTGGCGCGAAGCACATTTCCAAGTCAAAATTTACAAAACACACCAGCTTCGGACCACTTTTGGAAGTTGAATGAAGTTGAGATGTCGGAAAAGTGCACACCGTTGTGGCGCGAAGCACATTTCCAAGTCAAAATGTACAAAGCACACCATTCTCGGACCACTTTTGGAAGTTGAGATGTCGAAAAAGTGCACGCCGTTGTGGCGCAAAGCACATTTCCAAGTCAAAATGTACAAAACACCACATGTTCGCGCCAATTTTGGAGGTTCGGATGTCGAAAAAGTGCACGCCGTTGTGGCGCGAAGCACATTTCCAAGTCAAAATGTTAAAAGCACCAGGGGTTCGGACCACTTTTGGACTACACTACATTACACTACACTCCACTACACTACGCTCCACTACACTACACTACATTACACAACACTACAACTACAACTACACAACTACACTCCACTACACTAAATTACACTACACTACATTACACTACAATACGCTCCACTACACTACACTACATTACACTACACTGCACTACCTTCCACTACACTTCACTACATTACACTACACTCCACCACACTACAGCTACAACTACAACTACAACTACAACTACACAACTACACTCCACTACAATACACTGCACTACACTCCACTACACTAAATTACACTACACTACACTACATTACACTACAACTACAACTACAACTACACTCCACTACAATACACTCCACTACATTCCACTACACTAAATTACACTACGCTACAACTACAACTACGACTACACAACTACACTCCACTACGCTCCACTACGCGAAATTACACTACACTACATTACACTACACTACACTACATTCCACGACACTCCACTACACTACACTACATTACACTACACTACATTACACTGAATGACGCTGCACCACAGATAGACAGGTAGACAGATAGACAGAGAGATAGACAAACAGGTAGACAGCTAGACAGATAGACAGATGAAAGAGAGAGAGAGAGAGAGAGAGATAGATAGATAGATAGATAGGTAGATAGGTAGATAGGTACATAGGTAGATAGATAGATAGGTAGATAGGTAGATAGGTAGATAGGTAGATAGGTAGATAGGTAGATAGGTAGATAGGTAGATAGGTAGATAGGTAATGAGATGAAAGAGAGAAAGAGAGAAAGAGAGAGATAGATAGATCGATAGATAGATAGATACATAGAAGATAGGCTGGTAGGTAAGTAGATAGTCAGAGAAAGAGAGGGAAAGAGAGGAGACCTCAAGCACCTTTCGGTGCATCAGTGGATTCGCTCTGCCATCCCTGATTCACAACAGCCAATCTCTCCTATAGGTTTCCTATTTTTGAAACTTCCGCCACCGCCTTGTGCGGTACTACTGGTACCCATAGATGTATAAGTAGACAGTAGACATAATGATCAGATTGATAGAACCATTTTTTGTTTTTTCATGGACAGACCGGCAGGTGTATACAGATCAATCCGCGTATACTAATATGTATATATATATAGCAAAGAAAAACGAGGCATCGATCCTCTGAATCGAATAAACATAAATTTAGTACCATCTGGTTATGACTAACATAGCCATGGAAAATCACCATTTTTAATAGGTAAACCATCATAAATGGGACATTTTCCATGGCTATGTTAAATAACCAGATGGTAAGCAGAGATACAGAGATATTGTACTTTGTGGTTTCAGACATCTTGTCAGAGAGAGGATGATCCCAACCAGCAGACAGATCAGATGATCAGATATCTCCAGTGATTTTGGCCAAGACATCCCCAGCAAAGTGATCTGATCTGATAGATATCCCCAGGTTCAACCATGGACCATGTTCCCCTATCCCCAGTGATCTGATTGATATCCCCAGCCAGATACCCTCTGATAAACTAAGACCTAATAGCTAGAGAAAATGGCCCATTTGTAGTTGATATTTAGCTATTTGTTCAATAGTGATTTTCCAAAATAGCAATGTTAGTTCTTCAACCAGCAACTGATCAGCTGATTTGTTAGATATTCCCAGGGTCATCGAGATCTTGAACAATTATTTGACCTTCGGCCTCTCTTGGTGCCTCTTCTACGGCGTGCGCTGGCGTATCTCTGCCACACACTTCACGCACGAGCGCCTGGGAGCGTCACGTTTTTTTCCTGGGAGCATTTGGAACGATGATCACTGGAATATGGAGGGTTCTCTAAATGGGCTATGAATCAATACCTATTAATACCATTTTTAGAGGGATGAACATCCATTTACCAGCTATTTTTATGTTCACCAGGGGTACAAGGTTTTGACCCACTGCCAAATGGGGGTACCCCAACATGGATGGTTTATAAATGTCTATAGAAAATCCTATTTTTCAATGGATTGTTGTGGGGTACAGCGGAAACCGTTGGATTATTGAACCGATTAGATGATTTTTCCATCTACAGTGCTATAGGCGAAAAAATATGGGGATTGTGAACGAGGGTACCCTCAAGTTCTTAAGGGATTAGTTCTTAAGGGGTACAAATTCTAGTAGTTTCTGAATTTAGTAACAGGTCTCCAAAGAGCCATGAGGAAGGAACAAAACTTTCAGGTCTCGAACAGTTTTTTTCCGACTTAGGGGCGTGAAACCTGGGCAGCGACCCCAGATACCACCATGCCAGGGGTTTTATTTGCCGGCTTGTCATCGGGGTGGAAATGCTATAGTGTAGAGTCCTTCTGCCAGTCCTTCTGTCGGTCCTTTTGTCAGTCCTTCTGTCGAGAAAGAACTGTATTTTCGTGCCCCTAGGAAAGGCAAATAAATACACATTAATACCATTGTTGTAACCACACTGGAATAAAATCAATAACATACACTTAATACATCTTAATACATTTACCACACTGGAATCAAGACACACCTGGCCACAACTCCAGCGTACCAATCCAGGAACGTTCTTGCAGTGGTGTCAGAAACAGTGGTTTCACTGCAGCCCTATTTTAGGAAACCTCCATAAACCTCCATGTGTATGTAATGATAACGATAAGCATTATAAACATTGGTACTGTGTATGTTCATGTTATTTGTGTAGATTTATAAAACAATTTGACGAAGTATACATATCACCATACATATACACATATATGATTGTATATGCATAGTTGATATATTTTTTGTTGTCAGATAACATGCAGGGCCTATACATATTCATCTTGGTGCCCACTGCTAGATGCTTGCATCGCTGTCGAGGAATGCATTGCTGATGGTGGCCATTGCCCTCTTCCTGTCTGCTGTGTCTTTCTTGTTCATTTTTGTCTTGGACAAGGCCTGCTGATGTCAGTTGAAGTTTCTGATACATAGTGACATGATGTTGTACAGAGACAACTGTGTTTTTTTCCCCAAGACATGCGCAACATGGGCATTCATAAGCATTGAACGATGTGGATATAGACTTCTGGATGATTTACAGTGACAATGGCCCACATCTGTCGCCATAGATGATGGCCATCATTGTGGGGAAAGTGCAGAAAGCCTCTTTCTTGCTGTGGCATCTGTGGCCTTACAACAGTTCCTACGCCACTCCCTCTGAAATTGATCTCCAGACACTCTCAAATTCAAGATGCACCATGATTTGGATGACCCTGTGAAGCGCAAATACGTTGGACTGGACGCGACTTTGAACAAACACTTCTAAAATTCTAAAGATAACATGCTGAAGAAGTTTTCATTCCATTTAGTAAACCCTTGATAAACAGCATAAGTCAAGCGATTCTGAGGGACCAAAACGTGAAGTTCAAGATGACTTCATACCCGTTTTGATGCTTGATGTCGCCAATCATGCGCTTCAAAAAGACCATATACATTTGCTTAAATGTTCGTGAACGCTTGGTCAATATTGGTAAGTGTCCTAGCCTTTTTAAATCCTCTTTATATATATATATACTTGCAACTATTTGATATCTCCCACTCAGAAATCACATCGTTGGGGTATCGTTCCAGGTAGAGGACAACCACCTCTTCGGCGAGGACGCGGAGATTGCGGAAGGGGCCACAGAGAAGATCATCACAGGCGACCGTTGGGTTGTGGTAACCAAAAAGATGGACTGAGAGTTATTCTCCACTAATTTTAGTAGGATTTACTCTAGATGAATTTTCATTTTTTTATAATGTTTTTTGTAGGTTTTTGTTGCTTTCCATCTTTTTTCTCTTGTTTTTGTTGGGGGTTGCTATATAACCACATTACAACCACTAACCTGGTAAGCCCAATATCATAAACTTCCGTTTCACCAGCGATGTGTTCATTTGTCTAAGACCGGAAACGTTACGCAGGTGTCAAGACTGTTTGCCCCCAATATGTTGAGGTCAAGTATCCATCTATCATATATGTATTGTTTTCTAAAACCTTGATGTTGGGTTGTGAAAGTGTTTTAGCATGTTTGTCAGAACATCTCAGAGTAAGAAGTGCAACATGACCTCAGTGTCTTTGGAAGTCAGAGCCTGGAAATCCTTTGAAGATTTGGAAGTCTGCGGTGGCAAAACTCCAAGGATTTGACAAACATGTTGAAGGGTTTATGTGTATACGTGTATATAATAATATATATATATATATATATATTTTGAGTCCGTCCTAATAGCTGTAACAGTCAACGAAAAGGATTTATATTTTGGGCGAACGTTGTTTTGAGTGTTTTCCCTCGTGCACAAAATCGTGCTTTTCGGTGCTCTCCCTCGTGCAAAAAATTGTGCTCTAGATCGTGCTTTTTGGTGCTCTCCCTCGTGCACAAAATCGTGCTTTTTGGTGCTCTCCCTCGTGCACAAAATCGTGCTTTTTGGTGCTCTCCCTCGTGCCAAAAACCGTGCTCTAGATCGTCTCCTTCGTGCCACAAATCGTGCTTTTTGGTGCTCTCCCTAGTGCCAAAAACCGTGCTCTAGATCGTGCTTTTTGGTGCTCTCCTTCGTGCCACAAATCGTGCTTTTTGGTGCTCTCCTTCGTGCCACAAATCGTGCTTTTTGGTGCTTTCCCTCGTGCCAAAAATCGTGCTCTAGATTTAGATCGTGCTTTTTTGTGCTCTCCTTCGTGCCAAAAATTGTGCTCTAGATCGTGCTCGCTGTTACAGCTATTAGGCTTGTGTCAATATATATTAGATATGATATATAATATGAATTGTCATTTGTCTGGATTTGTTGCTCTGAATATCAAAGACGCAACCGCGGTGCCACCACCCAAAGCAGCCATTGGCTCAGTGAACTTTAACTCCATCCTGGAAAAGGTATCATATCGAATTGGGCCATCTGAAATAGGAAATATATGAAAATTGAATTTGATGGATCTACTACTTCAGGTTGTTATATGTTGTTATGAGTTTTGATAGTTTTTGTACATCCCAGCTGGTGGCAGATCACATTTACAACCCTGTTATCGTACATATATATATAAAGATATATTATAGAATATGATAGATATACATGTACATATATGATTATATTAATGCATTATTAATGCTATAAGCCCCATACTAGGAACTGAATGCAGGGTTCTTAGGCCGATTCCTGAATCCCTGCTTCTCATCATTGATCCATGTGTTCCCAGTCTAAGACAGCCCCATTGTTTGTTCTCTATGTCAATATGCCCATTGTATCCCCATTGCCCGATTCCCATTACATTGAGATCCCAATAAAACTCCCATTACATCTCCATATTTATATGTTTGATTCATCAGCACTGTGCTTGGGAAGTAATGGGGATTTCTGTTAAAATCTACCGATGATATTCCCATGGATTAGCTTACCATATTTCGTTGAACCCCGCCGTGAGGCCTTGGCATTTTAATCGGCTTCAGCTGGGAACAGAGCTTTGACACTGCTGTGGACGTTGTGGCCGAGGGGCTCCTGGGCTCTCTTGCTGTGTAAAAATGGTTGATTTTATGTGTATCAATGTATTAATACACTTTAATGTATAATATTAATGTATGATATATTTAATGTATAATATATATATATTATAATATGTATATATAATATATACACGAAATATGTGTATATATATATATGTATAATATTTTCTAACAATAATGATAGTAATACTAATAATACTGTCAAACGCCATTGTTTGCCCAGACCGGAAGGATCATCATCGTCATCATGATCATGATCATGATCATCATGATCATCATCAGCATCATCAGCATCATCATCATCATCATCATCATCATCATCCTGATGACAAGTAGAATAACCCCAACCCCCCAACCTAAATGGTAATGAAATGTATCTTTCAGGGGTCATGGGGAAGATGGTAACCTTATAATCATACAGGTAAATTGTTGTAGCAAACAAGAGCTGCCAAGCCTTCATTCCCTTTGGGCCGCGACTGTATGTTACTGCGGCACGGCGAAGTGTCAATGTTGCCATGAACTTCAGATATGGATGAACATTGAACCAGCATGATTATATAACTATATAGTTGGTTGTTAAAACAGAACAGAGACCCCACATGGTATTTTATGTATCCAATCGTGGTACAATTTCCATGCATCAATAGTTTAATCCGTATGGCATGATCAATATCGCAACATATATGCTCATGTGATGCGAACCAACGTGTATTGATAGTTATCTTAAGATATATGTGCATTTTGTGGCCATTGGATTCTTGGGCAAACGATTGTGTCAGCGCGTAATCATAGTAGTAAGAATGATAATAGATGATACTATATATATATACACGCGTTATTTCGATCCATTGCCTGGCATGCTGGAAATTTCCCCCCCCACTGAAGGGCAAACCATCTATGGCTAATTTCTGGATCCATGAAATCTTTGAGATTCAACCTGCCCGGATCCTACTCCAAGGTCCTTTCAGAATCAATGGATGCCCCCTAATTTAATGACCAGACTATTGATGCTTTTCATGACGGGTGACTTCAACAATCCTCAACAGCAAGTGTTACCCAAGGACCCATAGGCCCATAGCGTATGGTTTCAGGGGTATGATTCAACGGTGGCAGCCGGCAAAAAAGCGAGTCCAATTTGGGGAAACAATGATCAAAATTTGTGAGTCCATGGTATCCGCGATTGAAACACACCCAGATGAATAAGACAGGCAACGCCAATTTTTTGTCGCTATTGAGCAAAGCTACGTGCTGGTAAATCCATGTATATTTTTCCCTGAAACCAGCCGGATGATATTTTCATTCCAGTGATCCCTCTCAGCTTGTCGAACCAGATCATTGTAGCCACGGCATAGCTTTGAAAGTTTGCCAGTTCAAATCTTGAGTCAAAAAAAATCTAACAAAGAGGACCCCGACAACAGCCTTTGCCATTCCTCAAGTTTCCTTGTCACAGAATGTGTTTGAAACGGAACAGCTCCCAACAAATTCAAGAGTGCAACTGTTGGTGGTCTCATTCGGAAGAGACTATTTCCCACCCTGAAACTATCAGATGTTGTGTTGGGCGGCGAAAAACCGCCAGTTCTCTTTGCGTTTTTCATTTCAGATTTCAGGCTGCGTCATCTCGCCCCCCCGACCTTTTCGAAGATGGTCATGCCGCTCGGCCAGCTTCAGCGGACAGCCATTGATTTTTAGGTTGTTTGACATGGTTTAGACAATAGGATCGATATGGATACTTGAAGGCACTTAGTGGAATATATATATATATCCACCATGAAACGACGATAATTATATGTGTCAATGCAGGTCTAATCCAGTGTTGGTTTCAAATAGGTTTCACCTTTTGCTCTCAAAGTATCTCAGCATGGGATGATGTTACCAGCCGATTCAAATTTTGTTGAAACCAACAACATGATAAGACTATTGCTAAGTCAAACACTCATTGGAATTGGACCCCAGCCAGCCTGGAGCCTACATCACCAGCCAGGTCTATCTGCTTGGTGATGATCGTCTTCCCAGCTTGGCGCTTCTATATCTTGCCCACGGAGAGAGAAATCAGTGAGGCGCCTGGAACTGAGATGACCAAGGGGAAAACCAACGGGTGATGGGTACTTATTAGTCTTTTGGCTATAAATGGGCAATGGGGATGTGTATATTCGATGTATTTTATATATATATATATATAATTACAAATGCACAAGTGAAGTATGTACACATGCTCTAACTCTATCTGTGTATGTAATGTAATGTAATGTAAGGTAAGGTAAGGTAAGGCAATGTAACGTAACGTAACGTAATGTAATGTAATGTATGTATGTATATATATATATATGGTGCAGGCCTGCAACCCCACCCCCCGTCATGGTCATGGTTTCCCGACCCCCCTGTGGGACTGGGTGGGTCTCTTGTTTTTGTTTTGAACTCAACCCTACCAGGGCATAGCATGAGTACTGAGCACAGTTTATATACGCTGCCAAGGCTCAAGAGAGAGATATAGAGGTTATAGTTTGTAGTCTATGCACCGCACTGACTGGCTATTGGCCGACGGAGGAAAACTAGCGCAGACCGGGACCATATATACACTATATAGATGATATATAACTACCCAGCTTCTGAAAACAGACGTATGCAGGGTTTCCAGGATTAACTATTCATTCTTGAAGGACCTATCCCACCACATTCATATGATCATGGGTCAATATGGGGCACAGCAACAATTTGGATGATCAATCAATACTAAACGTAGCCAACCTAGGTTGTTTCCAGGGGGTCTGATATTTCAACCCATCCCCCTCCGCCTTGAGGCATTGTGGACTCCGAGCCCCATGAAACCAATAACGCGCATAAGCCAACAATTAATCATCAACCAGCAATCATGTATGGTCAGAATCCCCAAAGATTTTGGTGAATATCTGCATGGGAATCAGCAGTAATCATGGTTTCTGAACATGAATCAATCCGCAAGGGTTTAGCCATTTGTCACATGGGTTTGTTTGAACATATATCGACTGGTTGATCTGAATTTTGCCAACATCGCCCAAACTAGGTGCTATGTTTTCAATGTTCGGCCAATGGTCAGCATTTATATTATCAATATCCCCATAATTCTTGCCATTTATACTTCTTCACCCAAGACATGAACTTTTCTTGATCCGCATTATATCCATTAAAATCATCAGGAGACGACGGAAGAAGGCGCCGAAAAAGCGCGCTTGAAGGACTGGTCGGACTGGTCACAGCAGGTGACGGAAAATAGGGTACCCCATTCCATCCTCAATAGGAAAGTGGTTACTGAATGTTAATGATCATTTTCCATATTTAATGACCATTACTTCTATGATTTTTACGGGCATACATGTTTTTTTTCTTTAATCAGACTATCATATACCTCATTGATGACCTCATTGATGACCTCCATTGAGGATTCATTTTCCCGAGTAGATGGCCACCCCCAGGGGCAGCAACAAGTCTCAACATGTGATTGATGAGTGATGGTTAGACAATTGTTTTCAAATCAGAGAAACGGATTTTCACGGCAATCAACTTTATGACCAATCAGGGGTAGCATATGTTCAAACCCAAATTAAGTGTTGATAGAGTTTGTTTAATCCGGCAAGAAACACGTTCATTTCACATGATTTCACCAAGAATTTTGATGGAGCTAAAGGTCGCTGTTTCCAGGAATACGCAAGACAACACTTCGAGCTCTTTGTACACCACGCCACGGATGAGAGTGCCATGGCTGCCATGGCCACTTCGGGCTTTAGATTTTTTCATATATCACCATGCTGCTTGGAAAAATGCAACACTTCAGGGCCAAAAAATAACTCAGTTTAAATCTCAATAATGTATTCATGGTTTCTTGCCTATTGGCAGCTAAGATGAGATGATGACCCAAGTAATCATGCGATTTAGTTTCTCATTCCATTGAACTGATCTCCACGCCGAAGCATTCGTTATGAGCCATTCTCTGTTGGTCAGTTTCATTGGTTTTAAACTAATAAACTAATAAACTATCTATGTTGAAAGAACAGATTGGGGGAAAGGGTTCAACTGTTAGGACATGTTAGGACCAAGAAACCACTGAAAAATGTCATTGTTTGGCGTTTCACAGCACCAAAATTTGGTTAATAGGACATAATACATCATTATCCACGATTCCCAGATTCCCGTTGTACTGGGTGTACCTGTGTCTATATAATATATTCCCATATTTCCCATATATTCCCATCATATATCCCCCATTCTACTGGTGCCGAGACGATTTGGACCGTGCTCATCTGCTGATGAAGCGCCACCGCCGAGCGGCGCACGGCTTAAAGCACCCGGGAAGTGACTCGGTGGAGAAAACTGCCAGGAACCGAGTTTCCAAGCTTTGGTAACTAAAAAAGATGGAAACAAATTAGGATTTTGAACATTTTCCATGGGATATAGTGGGAATATACATGACGGACGGCAGGAAAATTAGGTGAAGTGAAGAGTAGAATTGGGACGTGCGCTGCCGAAAACACAATCTTTCGGTTACAAAACGAGGCAGGAACACCATGAGAATGAGGCGAATGAGGTAGGCAAAACGAGGTCCGGGAATGGAAAGCGAGGTAGGAACACCCCGTTAGTTGCCTGATGTATCAAATATTGTCCGCGGCTCTCACACACACAGGTATACTTATGTGTATACATATATATATATATATATATAAATATACAAATATGACCATGCGGATTGGAAAATAATTGACTTTGGTTAGTGAAATGGGATTCTACCAGGGATTTAACGGGTTATATAATGGGAATAGATAATGGGAATATAATAGCCCCCGCACGAGGCGGGGGCGGAAGTCTCAAAGAAGGAAAGTAACTATAGCGAAAAGGACATCTATAGGAAAAGCAGGTTTGTTGTTGTCACCTCCAGCTCGACTGACTCACGCACATGAATGAATGATTTGAAATCAAATGACATGACATGAAATGACATGAAATAAAATGCAATGCAATGCAATGCATGAATGAATTAATGAAATGAATGATTATGAATGGATGAATGCATGAATGAAGGAAAAGGAAGGAAAAGGAAGGAAGGAAGGAAGGAAGAAATGAATGAAGGAATGAATGGTTTCAGTGATGTGTTGGGTTTGATTGCTGGGCACAACAGTTTTTTCCCAAGTTCATTCTTTCTCACATTCCTGGTCCTGCTCAGAATGGCATTGAAACCCGCCCAAAAAAATGGAGGCGAACCCCACAAAACACAATGGCACGACGACATCCACCTTACGTCTCAAACCTTGAAACCGTCAACAGTGCGGATTGCTCCGACCATAAAACAAGCATATCCGCAACCGCCGAAACAACGGCCGCGCCCCAATCTCGAAGCCAGACGCACCGTATGCCCTATAGACCAGACAATTTGGAAAGACATAGTTAATTTTGGAAAATACTTAATGCGATGTTTTAAGACCAAAAAATAACTATAACACTAATTTGTTAACTTTTTGCTGCCTTAGTTCAAAATAATAGTTTTAAAAGTTAAACACATAGTTAAAACTGATGAGGCTAGATGTTTGGTAGAAGTTTATCAGAAATTTCTACTCCATGAGTAGAAGTTTGATAGAAACTTCAAACCGAACAGATAGACACTTCTAGCCAGCTACTGCCCAGGATCCAAACTATATAACTATTTTGTTAATTTAATTCTAAACTATTTTTCAAAAACTATCTAGATGACTTTTTTTTTGCCTATTTGCTAACTTTTTATTTTGCTCAAGCGTAAAAGACGTAAGAAGTGAACTAAGTACTTAACTTTTTTAGATTTAACTATTTCCCTCCAAATTGTCTAACCTGGTCCAAAGGGTGCTGTAATTGACAGCATGTCGTGGCGTCACTACCACTTCGCAGAAATAGCTCCAACAACTGCTCTGCAACCCTGCCTCACAATGACACCACCGGTGTAATGATTGAAGTCATTTATTTTGCAGTGATGTAATGAATGAGGTACTGTAATGATTAATGTGATGCAATGAGCGAGGTGATGTAATGATTGATGTGATGTGTCTTTTGCGGTGATGTAATGATTGAGATGAGCTGTATTGCTAAAGTGATGTAATGATTGAAGTGATGTATTGTTGCAGTGATGTAATGATTGAGGTGATGATGTATGGTTAAAGTTATGTAGTATTTGATCGGTGAAGTGGTGTAATGATTGATGTGAGGTATTGTTGAGGTGATGTAATGATTGATTGGTGAAGTGATGTAACGATTGAGGTATATAATCGAATCGTTCGTAACTCGGAAGTTTCTTGCTAAACTTCCTTTGATAGTGGGAATATATAAGGGGAATATCACAGGATATATTGGGGGATATAGTGGCATATAGTATATAGCAACCAATGGGATATGCTGGGGATATAATTTACAATCTTGACCAGTATGAACCATGAAAAGGGGTGATGATACCTAACTTACAATCATCAAGATGATTTGGGTTTGGTACCTGAAAATGGGGGTAATATACCCACATGCTTTGATCGGGGATCATCAAGCATTGAATTTTGGGGTCATGTTTCCTCACTAGAACCCAACAGTTGTTAGCCAATTATAAACCAACAGACACTTACTGGATAGATCTCCCATAAATTTCCCATCTGTGTTGGTTCAATCACCATGTTCATCCAGTTTGATTTTTCCAAATCCCTCCGGTCCCCCATTTACAGATGAGTTTCCCAGCTGGAAACCTGGTTTTCCCTGCATTTTTGGGGGGTTTTCCACCGGGCCAAGGTCATTTACCGCAACTGAAACATTTGATGGTCACCAGTGGTGGTATCATGGAAGTGGATGCGCCAGAGGTCACGTGAAGATGGCTGGAAATGGGGGATGCACCCTGATTATTTGAAGGTGTTTTGATATAATTTATCAGGATTTAATAGGGATAAACGTAGCAGTACATACCCTCCGGTAATTTGACACTTGGTTTTGAAAAAGCAACGTATTTTTAATAGGTAAATCATTGAATAGTCAATAGTCCATGTTCTATAGCTATGTAAAATTACTGGAGGATAGACCACCAAAAAGCCTATTTCAATGGGGAGAATAAAGATAAAGCATCTAATTCGAGGGTACCCTATGTTCCGACAGTCAGCCATATTAGTGCCGACAAATGATCAGTGTTCAAAACCTCTGTATGATTTTAGTTTTTCAGTTATATTAAATGTTATATTAACTAGCCTTAATTAACCGTATATCTGGGACTATCGTCATCGAATCCCAATTTACTAACCAGCATAAGTGCCATAGTCAAGCTACCTGGGATGGGCATCCCTCTTGACTACGAGAATGTAACAATGGGAATATAGGAATACTTTGGACAATATGTCATGGGAATGTGGGAATAGGAGGCTTCCATTTTAAATGGCTTTGGTTTTGGAGAAATCGGAAACGAATGGTTTGGGGACCCCAAAACCAAGTAAATGGGCAGGTGGTGCAAGGTGGTGCCCCCAATTTTCATCACCACAAACCCAGCAGCTCGCGGACTCCTGAGTGTCAAGTCTTGTTCTTGCTGTGAGGAATAAAAAGTCATTGGCTAGCCCGAAGTCATTGGATGGTTTACTACCAAGAATGACCAACATTGGTGGTTAAACTTGGATGGTTGGTCCTCAATTGCATCATTTTTTTGTGGTCATTGTCATTGGTTGGTCCTCAAGAGCAGGAACACAGAAGTGACAAAGGAGAGAAGAAAAAGAAGAAGAACGTGCCTTGCATTGAGGGGGGAATGTGGGCAAGGCTCATCTGTAAAAGCATGGCATCATGGAACCTACAGATGGGCAGGTTGATGTTTCAGCCTTGACACTGGCAGATGTCACGTGTGCAAAACTGTTGCCTGCAGGACTAAATATGATTTACGGTCTGTATTGCAAATGGATGGATAGATACTTAGATTGCAGATAGATAACTAGATAACTAGATTATAGATAGACAGACAGACAGACAGATAGATAGATAGATAGATAGATAGATATATTATATAGATAGATAGATAGATGGATAGATAGATGGATAGATAGATAGATAGATAGATAGTTAGATAGATAGATACATAGATACATAGATACATAGATAGATAGATAGGTAGGTAGGTAGGTAGATAGGTAGATAGATAGATAGATAGAGAGATAGGTAGGTAGGTAGGTAGGTAGGTAGGTAGATAGGTAGATAGGTAGATAGGTAGATAGGTAGGTAGGTAGGTAGGTAGGTAGATAGGTAGATAGGTAGATAGGTAGATAGGTAGATAGGTAGATAGGTAGATAGGTAGATAGGTAGACAGACAGATAAATGGATAGATAGATGCGTAGATATTATTGCTCCATGAAAGGCTTTGCCCCAGACGTATTTGCAGCTGCAACCCGATTATGACCCTCCCTGGTGTTTGGGTGGGGATGGAACATCCCCAATAGTGGTGACCAGTCGCGAATGTGGATGTGAAGATTATCCTGCTGGCCACAGTGAGTGGTGTTGATTGCGGCATTCCAAATGGATATCACATAGATGTCCGACATTTGCACTGGTTGGCTAATTTATAGATATGTTTTCAAAACCGATTGGCAATATTAATGACTGATAAAAAAAAAGTATGCCAAAAACACCACGCGGTTTTGTATTGGTTTGTTTAGTTTGCTCTCTCCCAATCTCGCAAAGAAGTGTTTTTAAAATCAAGATTTCATGTTTCGAGATCACATTTCAGTCATATGGATGCCCCTTTGTTATTGTGTAGCCAACGATTGGATGAGTTTTCCCAATATTCCAATGTCAGAGTCGCCTGGAGGGTTTGTCATGTCGCTTCCCAGATCTGTCTGAAAAGATGGACAATTCCAGTGGCTTCTCATCATTTCCCTATGCCCTATGCAAGCAACACTTTTAGTGTATATTGATAATATAGGGAAATGATATTGATAATATACCATATTGTATTGATAATATATCATATGGTTATTGATAACACAGTGTATATGGTATTTAGTGTATATTGATATTGATAATATACCATATTTTCAGACGCACAAATGCAAATAGTTACCTGCAGTGTTTATGCCGTCCCTACCTCTGTCATGGCTATGACCGAGGTACCCTTGATACACCTTGTGTATAAAACCAGCACTGTAAATTTCAAATCATATCTTTGAACTCTGGTTTGGTTACTGAACGGGTTATTTTGTTTGTTTATATGTATGTGTGTATCACATCCTACCGAACACATCTCGTCTAGCCATGCAACCGCAGGCTGGACACAAAAAAGATCTCTCTGTCAGTCTGTGGCTTGATCGAACAGCGGCTTGGGGCACCGCGGTTTCCATAAATGGGGGTACCCCAATAGCTGGATGGTTTATTTCATGGAAAATACCATCTATAAATGGATGATATACATATGTTTTCTTTTTTGTTTCATCTTTTTTCTGTAGAGTTTTGATCATCTTTGAGTAGTTCAGATTGTTGGATGAGTTTATTTTGTATTCATGAAATTCTCAGCGCAAAGATGTTTCCTGAAACGAACTTCTCTTGGGTTGAGATCAACCTAGTGATGTCTTTGTCTGGTTGGTGGTTTGGAACATTTTTTATTTTCCCCAATAGTTGGGATGATGATCCAATCTGACGAATATTATTCAGGGGGGTTGAAACCACCAACCAGATGATGTCTTTGTGTATTTCCGAAATGTTTTGCGAAACTTCCCATCAAATGGTCCAATGATAAAGGCACCGCTCAGACAGCCAAGTGTAGTTGTAAAGACTTTCCCGCCACAGGGGCCGGGGCAGCACCAGGTTGGGATGAACTGGAAATGCTCAGAGGCAACGATGTGGCAAAAATCAGGCGTGACAACTCACTGGATGATTTGCTGGAAGTTTAATCATGACGACCGTCCTAGAAGCACATCCTACCTAGTATTTGATGGTTGGGAAGGCTCATATACAAATATTCAGATTTGAGATGTGTTCCGACTTCGACAGATATTTTAAGATATTTTAGGTCCACGTTGTGCAAAGGCTTCAGATTATTCGCCCGCGTCGTTCAGCCCAACAAAGCCAAATGTGTGATGTGAACAGTGAAAAAGGTCCCATTTGTTTATAATCACCCCCCAAAAAGATAGAAAAGTAAGATCCTACTATGGTGTTGAATTACTTTTCAATCTTTTTTTCGGGTTACCAAAACGACATGTTGTTGCTCACCCAATGATTGCACCTTGGCTGTGTAGAGTTGCAAGGCGGTGCGCCAGTTTGTTAGCTACTTAGTGTGTAACTAGATGAAGTAGGGTTGTCCTGGGTTTATGCTGATTAGAGCTTAGAACTGTTATAGCTAGGAGAACCACCGGGAGTGTGACGGGATATTTGCCCAGATTGTAAGGCTCCTTACTCCGGGAGTACCAGGTCAAATGACAATTAGAAGCCACCTATGATTCCTATGATCCCATTTTGCACGGAGTCAGAACTGGCTTACAGGTGCTTCAATTCATTACAAAACCTACATCGATGCTGAACTATGCTGAAATATGCTGAAAATGGACGGTGAACAATCCTGAAGCAGCAAATTTCATGGTCATATCATGGTTACTTGGAGTTATAGGTCTAGAGAATCCGAGTTTTTTCCAGCATATCCCTCATCGCTTGGTCTTTGGACGCCGAAAGACAAAAGGTCAATCATGCAGGCCTTGGAATGCCTCGGCGTTGAAATGGGTCTCATGAGATCCGACTGGCTGCCATGCTCTGATGATTTGCCGGGTGTTTTTTTTTGTAATTGTGTTCAAGCTTTTACTGCAACTTATTTCCAAGAATATAGATATATAATGATATATATATATAGAGATGGATTGAAACCAAGTCTTTTTATTGGGTACCACTATTGCAAGAAACATCCCAATGGGTACATTAATACTTCTGGATAATGTAGAGCGGCCCAGCAGGCCCAGCAGGCCTACTTGTGGCTCCCATTGGGATTTGTTCTATTGTATCCAGACAGTTAATTATCACAATCTCACTGCGAGGTCACTGGCAGGATTGGGGCTACCTTTAACATCACTATATTTCAGGCTAGTGGATTCCCATGATTGCAGAAAGTAAGCACATTGACCATATTAAGTTCCATTTTTGTTGGTTAAACCTATTTTTTTGTTGACTAAGCCCCCAGTTTGCGTGGGATCATGATCATTGTGACTTTGGCATGAGTCATACCCTACAACGCTGGCTAGTACCGCCTGCACCCAGCGGGCGAACGGAGATCCCAATGACGTCAACTGGTGACGAGTGGGTAGTTAATATGTTACATAAAGCTGCATGTGTATGTATATAATTGTGTATATATATATATGCACATATACGCACACATTCGGAATTATTCAATCATTTTTAGTTATGTTGCCATACACCGGGATGCATAATATTGATATATTGTATGTATTTGTATGTGTAAATACGCATATATAATCATATATATATATAATATACGTACCTACATACTCACCAGCCGGGTCTTTTCTTGTGGTCTGGGTGTAGCTGGGTCTTTGTCATTTCCACTTAGTTACCTTGAATGGGATCAGCCGTCCCAGATGATGAACAAATCCAATCGCCAGGTTGATGAAAGTCCCAGCTACACGCATAAACGGAAAAACATGTTTATATGTTCATATATAATTATACCTTATACCATAGTTTTTATATAATGATATATGTATATATAATCACGCAAATCCGTGAACAATAGTCCTTAATTATATATATAGTTATATGTGTATATATACACATTTGTTTGTTACTATGTACACAAGGGAATATACACGTACTATCAAAGACCAATCTATGTATTTACAGAAGTATCTATGTATCTATGTGTCTATGTATCTATGCATCTATCTACCTATCTATCTAACTAACAAACTAACTGACTAACTATCTATCTATCACAGTGTTTCTATACACACGTTAGTATATACATGTTGCCAGCTTTGTATACAAAGCCATTCGCAATGTCGCCGGGCCACTGCTCCGGGCATCTGACCTTACACTCTCCGGCTGTCGTTGGGAAAGAGCGGCTGCTGGGTTGCTGCTGGTGCGCGTGCATACCAGTCGTTGATAACCCATGAATAACCCATGTATTGTTACCCACCCATGAATTGTTGCCTACGGATTGCAACCGGGGCCCGCTGTTCAAGTGAACAAAACATAAACTCAAACCAACATGCTGGATACGCTTACCATCAGCAATACAACGCCGAAGAAAACGATAGCCAGAACCTGCAGTAGGAGCAAAACTCGCCCAAGACTGAAAAAGAATTGCAGACAAAAAAAAGCACCCCTGGGAAATTTCATGTATACCTATATGCTATGGGGGGACTATTTTTTTGGGGATGTTATTTTTTTTTTCCGCTTTGTTTTTGCTTAGTGATTTCTGTTTCCCTGCTTCTTTGCTTTTCTGCTTTTCTTCCTTTCCCTGCTTCTCTGCTTCTCCGCTGTTCTGCTTCTCTAATTTTTGCTTTTCTGCTTTTCTTCCTTTCCCTGCTTCTCTGCTTCTTTGCTTTTCTGCTTCTTTGCTTGACTGCTTCTTCACTGTTCTGCTTCTCTGCTGTTTTACGTTTTTTTTGCTTCTCAAGCCTATATAAACCCCAAGATGTACAATATAAATATACCATAAGCCAACCCCAAATAATCCCCAAACCAATCCCCGCAAAACTAAAGCAACTCTAGGTAAACCCTAAAAAAACACAATGAAACTTACCCCATACAAACCCTAAACCAACCCTAAATAACCCAAGCTAACACTTAAAAAGACAAAAGCAGCCCTAAGTAACCCCTAAACAAACCTGTGAAACTTACGCTAAATAAACCCTAAACCAGCCCGAAATAGATCCTAAACCCACCGCACATAGATTTTGAACCAAACCTAAATAAACACTGAACCAAGTCTGACTAAAACCTAAACCAACCTTAAATAGATCCTACATGAATCTTAAACCACGCCTAAAGAAACCCTAAACCAACCCTACGTAGATTCCAAACCACCCCTAAATATTCCCCAAACCAACCCCAAAACCAACCCCCCCAAAAAAAAACAAAACCAACCAGTAAAACAAATAAACCAGCCCTAAACCAATCCTAAATCAACCCTAAAACCAATCTAAACAGACCCTAAATGGCCCCTAGTCGCAAAATACCATCCAACATGCAAAAATTGAGCACCAAAATGTGCAAATATCATCGAACATGAGAGGTTCGAACTCCAAAATGTTGCAATGCCGTTGAAATGGCAGCTTCCAGCTCCAGAATGCTGCAAATTGCAAGGAAAACGGACAGAACAGCAGATCAAAAAAATACCAAAACGGAAAAACACAATTCCCAGAGCAATTCCGGACCCTTATGCTATTATATATATATATATAAAGTAACGACCTCTCAAGAAATATCGAAAGGAATTTATGGCTATATTAGTAGTTTCGATTTTCTATTTGTTTTTGGGGGTTGCTATGTGTATATTATACACCATGATACCTGTAAATATATGTTTTTTATTATCTCTTAGTGCTTCCGCCGAGACACCGCAACCTCAGCTTTTGTTGCTCCTCGCGTCGATCGTCCAACGTCCGGTCTCGTTTGCTACGAGCTCGTCACGACATGCCTGAGATCACCAAGTCTGTGGCGTCCCTTGGAGGAAGTGCATGCTGGTCACAGGGGGTTATCCCCAACTGGTGGGGATAGTGGGACATAGATTTATAGGTCACCCCGCAACAAAAATATTAAGAAAAGGAACATCCGAACATCCTCCTAAACTAGAGATGAATGAAGTTTCTGTCGTTTGTGGGGGTTGCTACTACAAATGCTTGTCTAAGCATCAAGAATGGGAGCTTGTTTGAGATTACATGTGGATATATATATATATAATATGATATAACTAACCGACAAAATTTGCGGAAGACTAACGTAGTAGGGAGTGGACTTGGGATGTTCAATTTTGTGTGAAAACCTTCACAACCAATATTAGGGGACCACCCACTTACCGATACCCTATTTTCACACATAGCATGGAAGTACAAACCTTCACAACTGATAGGGGACCACCCACTTTGGCCATGTCCATTCCGGGTAGTAAGTATTTTTTTCCGCCACTCGGATATATATAACAAACACGATGATGTTTGGACGTGTTTGATATTGTTGAGTACACCACCGAAAAATGGCCCTCAACAAATTTGGAAGATGATGCTTAAGCATCAATTTTTTGCGGCCCTATATTCAGACAAAACCATATACAGATATAGTGGTGATATAAGCGGCTCACAGGGGTAGATGATATACCTAGAAAGCCAAGTCGCAGGGAAAAAAGGGTGACTGACAAAAGTATGTCTTGTCCGAAAGTCGCAAGTCTATAGGAAAAGTGACGTAATTCCACGTTGGAGAAATCCGTCACAGTTTTCACGTGTTTTGTTTCTTTGCGACAAACAAGAGTAAAACAAGGCACTAAACAAGTTAGAAAAAGGCAAGAAAAAAACTTAAAAACATACATATTAATTCATTAAGCACACTTCTTGCGCATAAATTTACTGCGTGCATGAAAGCCGAAACCCAAAAGTCGCATAGACTGGTGAAAGTCGCATGAAAAAGAACATAACTGGAATGAACCAGGAAAGAGTTGTGTAATTAGGATGTATATTGTAAGTATTGCAGTACGGGTGAAACATTGAGACGAAGGGGTCTATAGATTTTGGTTGAGTTTTATAGGAGTCGCAAAGCATCCCATTTTTGGGTACTGGTACCCATTTTGACCCATTCCCATATGTTAGTATCCATTGTGAGTAAACTGGAATGCAGAAACAATGGCATATTAAGCACAGCGACTATCAATTATTGGTCTTATATACTGCGAGGGTCCCGTTCAGAAAAGCCGTGCTTGAACCTGAAGCTCCATTTTCAGAACCGCCTTGCGCACACTGAATCGCCTGCCCCGTGGAAGAAGAGACAGCATGAAGTAGCTAGAAAGACACATCAAGACCCGGTTTGGAAGAGCCCGGGAATAATGCTAGCAGAAGACACACAGACGCTTGCCTTGTGGTGTGTCTAGGCCCGTTGGCAGCTTCCTCCCGGTTTGGTACAGGTATGTACAGGTACAACATTGAAACGGGGTATACGAGGCCGCTCCAATAAGGTAAGACGGGGCCGCGGGCGCGGCCCCAAGATATGATCCGTGGAAATTCCCACGTTTTACGGGGAAGCAGCAAGGCCGCTACTCAGCAACAATGGTCGTCACCACTGGTGGCCTTAAAAGCTGCCGAAATCAGGTTCCATTGCGGCGAAGCAGGGCCGCAGCGGGGCCAGCGCGGGGCCACCGCTTGCCATACAGACAGGAAGTGTGGTGGTCTGTAGAACATGTACAAGCACATTATAGAAGAGTGTTTGGCACGATTGCCGCTCACTTTCCTCGTGGAGTTGGGCCGCAGCAACTGCACCCGGAGCATAACAGCAATACTGACCCGAGGCTTTTAGGGCCAGAAAATCCAGAAAAGGAGCTATCTTTGGCTTCGCCGTGGAGAGCCCCAAACAGTAGAAGTTCGTGCCATGCAACAAGTGACTTTCTTGGTCCTAATTCTGTGGCCCCAAATTTGGAGCCTACAGTGTCTTCTGCAAAGTCTTGTTTTTGGGACAAATTGGCCGGATTTTTTTGGGACCAGAACCATGTTTGAGAGAGTGTGGCGGACTGGTAGCATGGCAAGATATGATAGAAGCAAGGGATGTGCCAATGCATAATGTTGAGGGTGTGCTTGGAACATCTTGGAACACCTGGAGCCATGCTACTATATATCCCCATCCACGTTCAAAATAATTTGAGTCCCACAATGGCCTGTAAGTTCCAGCATTTTTTTGGGTTACCCTGCGGTGTGTGTAGACCGGAAGGTGAATGGTTAGTGATTGCCGCTGCCACGGCTAGAGCGTGGGGCGAGCTGTGATCCTGTTTTCATCCTCTCGGATGTTTTCAAGGGATGAAACCAGCAGCCAAAAAAGGGTGTTGAGCAGTACTTCGACTTGTAGGGATTTGAACTTTGTGAGGTCAGCCATGTTGACGGATGGTAAGATGCCATTGATAAATAGGGTGCAGTATTCCAGTCCTGCAATACCCAGATGTTGCTATTGAGGTTCGACAACATCGCGCGTGAATGGCGCTGCAAATGGTCTGCTGACAAGGACAAGGTGTCCCGGTACACCATGGGCCGTGGGTCACATGGTGGAATCCCGGTTATAGCTGAAACATGCTGGAACCATCAATATGGATCCCTTGTTTGTCAGTATTAGACAGTTCGAACCAGAATATGGGAGGTCAAATATACAAACTAGGGATCACATGCGTTCCCAATATACATAATAATATAAGGTGACATGAACCAGCGTATAATAATATAAGTCAAGGGCCTTCCTAACCTGACTTCGCAACAGGTCGCTGAGAAGGCGATCCATGTCCTAGAAGTCGGACCTTGATAACCAGGGATATGCCTGAAGTTCGGAAATCATCGGTCAGTGGTTGTATTATGTTGGAGGATTCCCTATTATTATGGACCACAAATAATCCTCCAATATATACCTACACAAATCTACACAAATCATCGGTATTCAGCTGTAGATTATTTGTTGGAGGATTTGTGTAGATTCTGTAGGTATATATTGCACCTATTCGTCAAAAATCACGAGGGTTTTTGTTGGCTGAGTAGTCCTCGGATAGGCCGGATAGCTTGGTGGTTCATCTCTATCAGCAAATGAACACTCAGAACTACCACCTGTGATGTGAAAGCCGTGGTGGCGAATTTTGATCCCTCATGAAGATAAAGTTGTTGTTATTACCCCAACCAACATATTTTTCATAGGGGTTGGCGAATTTTGATCCCTCATGGAGATAGTTGATACGATTACCCCAATCAACATATTCTTCAGAGGAGGTGGCGAATTTTGACCCCTCACGAAGATAAAGTTGATGTTATTACGCCAGTCAACTTATTGTTCAGAGGAGGTGGCGAATTTTGACCCCTCTCGAAGATAAAGTTCATGTTATTACGCCAGTCAACATATTGTTTAGAGGGGGTGGCGATTTTTGACCCCTCACGAAGATAAAGTTGATGTTTTTACCCTAGTCAACATATTGTTCAGAGGTGGCGGCGAATTTTAATGTGATGATGATCATGATGTGATGATGTGATGATGTGATGATGATGGTGATGATGATGATGATGATGATGATCATGATCATGACGATTGTAAGTGTGGAGCAACGTCCGGGATGGGGCGAACATGTTAAAACCACACTTTTCTTGCTGAAAAATCCAGACATTCTAAAACCTCTTCGCCACAGTTTTCCTGCGAGTTTTCCATCCTCATAATCATATGCAATATTTACATCAACATTTACCCTGGGATAAACTCTGGTAAGCGTTTCGAATGTGGAAAAAAACAATTTGTTCCGGAAACAGAATCTACAAGTCTGGGTTTTCGACATCTTCAGGCGTCCCTGGATGCCGCCCAAGAGCTCTTGAAGAGCGTCTTGCCCGAGGTCAAGGCGGTCCCTTGGAGAATTCCACGCGGAGGATTCGTCAAAATTGAACCCCCAGGAACCAGAGATTTTAGGATATTTTAGCATTATATAATGTATGTCGTATAAAAATATATATATATAATATAATACTATAATGTATATATAATGACATATATATAGTATGTATATGTAATTATGTATATATATATATATGTATAATGTTTAGTATTAACCATCCAATTATTGGAGTACTCAATTTTGACCTAGACCCATGTACTAATGCTCAATATGATCATATGATGGAATATTATGTCTGAACATATCGTTCGGAGTATATTTGAGTACTCAAGACACCATCACATTATATATATATATGATGTATGATGTATATATATGATGTATATATATATGATATATTATATATATATGATATATTATATATATAAGATATATATATTATATATATATATATTCCACTGGTGAATCATCATCGATATTCCGAATGCTGGTCATTTTGTGGCATTCATCCCCATGTTCAGACACACCCATTTACTTTGTTTCTTAAATTAATGATTAGACATGATTGTCGGTATTGGCTTCGGATCGAAGATCAATGTTAGCGATATTTCATGTGGGATCCACACTGACCTTCGAGTGCAGTGGTCGCGAAAAAATGAATGGTCTTGCCTATCCCAAGAATCGAGAAATACAGTATATCTAATTATATATATATATAATATATATAGCAACCCCCAAAAAGATAGATGTATACCCGTAACTTCCTAATGTATCACTATTTCAGGGTTGGATGTTACTTTTCTACCGTGACTTGTGAGTTGCTCTGTATATATATACACAATCATCTGGGAATGCACGATCATAGTCAACAATGATCAGGGCGACTATTCCCAAGTTACTGACCAATCATCTAAATTTCAACTGAATCATTCTTCTTCATATCCCCTCACCCCGGAAACATGTAGCGACTGGAGCGTCTACTGTCCTTAATTTGTTCTTCCGTCCATCCCTTTTGTATCCTTTTGCCGTTTCAGATGCGTTCTGTGGAACCTGCATGATTCATTTGTTATTTTGGTATGCTACCTAACAAATGACTGGGATCCTATGCCAATTGGACTTCTGAAGATCTCTCATCTGTTCAATCTTTTGGGGTAAGTCAATCTCCCACTGTCCCCAACAAATGGTTTATATTCCCCCCCCATACGCCCTCTGCAAGCCATACATAGTTTAAATAATATGTTCGAGATGGCAACAGCATCAGTTATATATCAGTCTTATATCAACTGAGGGTTCAGTGAAAAAAAAAAACACCTTTTGTTTTTTTCTCCATGTTCCCATAGTTATCCCCATAAAATACACATCATAAACTTTCCATTCCTCGAAGATCATCGTTCATGACGCCAAGGTTCCTGGCGTGAAGGGTGTGCAGCGTGTGGTCTGTGGGGGATGCCTGGACTTCAAGGCCATGTCGTTTTCGAAAAAACCAGGTCGAAGCGAAGAAAAATCAGGATTTCACCAAGGAAAAGTGTAGATATTGGGGAATATCCCCATTTTTCCCATACTTGTTGGTGAATATCCCTATCATGAGTTGAAGCAGCATCTTTGGCGACAAAATGGGGATATTCACCAACAAGTATGGGAAGATTGTAGGGATTTGGATAGAGCATGATACGGAGACAATGGGGTATGTATTATGTGCAGTCATTGACGTGAATATACAGAGTGCATGGAAACATTTAGTGATGGTAAGTGGTTTCCAACCCATTATGATATAAAAACATAGATAAGGTGATATTCCAGGATATGCATGTTGATTTGTTTCATGGATCGTTTCTTGGCTAAACAGATGGATTATTTATTGTTACTTTGACCTCAGGTGACCCGCAAAAAATTAGTCAATGTACCACACAATGTGATAAATACAGTCTATCGGGTAAGTTGAGGGTCTACAGTAGGTAAATGTGTATACAGTATTTATTATTAATAATTATCATTATTAATTATTATTATTATTAATGATTATTATTAATAATAATATACATTGTTATTATTATTATTGTTATTATTATATACATGTACACAGACTAGAACACAGTACCCAGGGGAAAAACAACGCAGTGTATTTGAGATGCGCCAGTCACTTTTCTTTTCAGTGAAGTGGCCATTTTACGATTGCCACCAAATTTTTCGGTTCATCGTTTGCAAAAAAAATCGCTATGAAACGTTTTTTTCAAGTGGGAGTATCTAGTAATGGGGCATGTTGATCGTATGTGCCAAACTAGCTGATGCAATTTTTCGTTGAACCATCGATATCCCCAAAACATGTGAGCAATTCGTTCAAATCTCAGGTGAGCCATGGCACAAAAAAAACACAGTTGGTTGATGATTATAGGGGCGGTTGAAGTCAGGCCGATTTCGCTACAAGTATGTATGTGTATTATCGGATATGACATAATCCTCCCCCTAATCTTCAATCCATTAAACGGTCACAAATATGTGTAATTCCCCTACTAAACCATGATTTCTTGGGTGTGTTTTATTAATATTAGGGGGATGGAATTGCTAAATCCATGAACTGGGAATCCCAGTTCAATCATTATAGGTTGGGGATTTTCCAACAACAGTTCCCACATAAGCTACGGGATTTCGCAAAAGTCCTGTGATTTTCCGGTCAGATTATTTAATCCCCTGTTTCGAAAATTTGTTTCAAGTCGGTTTTTGCCCATACCTTCCAGTAAACTAACATAGCTATGGAAAATTGCCCATTTACAATCATTTACAGATGATTTACCTATAAAAAAAGGCAATTTTCCGAACGCAAACTGTTAGTTTACCAGAGGGTACCCTTTTCAAATGCTCGAGGTTTCTGATGATTTTGACATGCCCATAGATTGCGATTGCTGATCCTATCAAAGTCACTAACAAAAACCATTAGAAAATCTTTGAAACCATATAGCCAAGCATGGTGATAGCCCATAACATTTCTATATATGGTATGGTGTGATACGGCATGGCATGTTATATTTTGTTTTGTTCTGTAATGTAATGCAATGAAATGAGGTGAGATGTGATGTGATTAAATTATATTTAAATGTATAATAATGTACTGTAATGTGCAATAACTCATATCTACCCATATAGACCAGACATAATTATATATAGAGTCATGGCATATCCCATCAATTTCATTCAAATTCTTCCCATGAAAAGCCCATTGCATACGTCAGGTGGTGGTGAAACTGTCAGCCGACAAATTTCCTGACTGGGAGAAGACGGGCTTCGCACCCGAGGTGACTAGGGGAATCATCAATCCCAGCTATGACTGACCCATTGGGGGTACCCCCAATGGGTACCAGGCGGAACTGACCGCCATATTTCCATATATTTTCCAAGATGTTTGCGAATCTTGGATGGGGTTTTTGGTCGCATTTTGAAGTCACTTTTTGAGACGTTTTCTTGGTTGAATCTGGTGGTTCCCGCCCGGAATGGTTTAAATTTCGGGAAATGTGTGCCTGAATCCCAAGAAGACTGAGGCAGCAGTTGGTTTTGAACTGACTCAGACAGCCACCACAAAAGTCAACCGTCTCTCATTTCAATGGGGATTTTTAATGGGGAAAACTGTAGATTGGAAGAACTTGGAGGCACGAGCCTCTTACCAAACTTATGGCTCACTTTGTTGGTTCCAGTATTGGAGTATAGAGAAACATAGATGTCTTCATGGATGACCGTTTTTGAAGTCTAATTGGATTGTCCCCACGCTTCCTTCCAATATCCGATGCTATATTCTTCCGGTTTTTAGTCCGGAAGACTGAATCAGAAAATAGAGGGTGAGGATGGATGGCATGGTTGTTGTTTGTAGATAGTCTTTTTATTCCCCCCTAGTTGATCAATAGGTAAGGAAATTGTTGGTTGAAGTTTGTGGGCCCATTCTGATGGGGCCCGAGTCCCTATTAGTGCTTTGTTTTTTTCAAGTTTGTTCACAGCCCCAAGTTTTTGATGCACAGACTCCAAGTTCTTCTAGTTCACAGTTCACAGATGTTTTTTTTTCAGAGCACATGTTGATACATGTTGTATTTTGATGTAGGGGCTTTCTTCTAAAACATCCATGTTTACCACACGTAACTTGGTGACATTCCACGGCTTCACCGTGTTTTTTAGGCCGCTTTCCTCGAGAAGCTGAAGGCCATCGACGGCATCTCCATTGTGGAGACACAGACCTACACCTTGGAGGAGGCAGCCGGGATCTGGGTTTTTTGCGACTCCTGATAGACGCCTGTAGTACAACCTCACCATGTTTTTTTATTAAATACTGATTGGTGGTTTCAAACATTTTTTTATTTTCCATCATGTATGGATATATGGGAGAATAATCCTTCCCATTGACTAATATTTTCTAAGATGGCTAAAACCACCAACTAGAATAAATGGGTGTGTATACATGATGTATATTTATGTACAAATATAAAATCGAGACGTATCTAAGATTGGCAATTTGTTTTTTTCTGATGAAACATCTTTCAAACAAACAAAGTTTGGATTTTCAGTTTGACCAACAATTTTGGATTTTTTGATTAAACATATGACATAGGGGAAGCAACCAACATACTTTTGGATGATGTTCTTTTGAACCATTGAGAATGAACTGAATATACCTCAGTAAAGTAGCCCTGCAACCCAACAGCAGTTAAGCTTCCAGTAATTTAGGGTTCCTGGAGTTGGGAGGGGGGGCCCTATCCCGGTCTTGAGTGGCTTTCATCTCTGACCAGTCCCAGACAGATTGAACCCCAACAGGCACTGCTGTTGGCAAGTAAAATAGACATTGAACAATTGAAGACCCTGTGTTTCACTCCGAACATGATGTGGACATGTTGAAACTGATGAGTTTTCCGTGGGCTAGTTTCAGGAGGATAATCGAGCAACTTGGGGTGAACCACTGATTATCGGGAGAGCATCCGACCCTGTGGATTTGGTATATGGGTCCCATCTTGAATCGTTATCAACCAAGAGTGACCCGCTTGAACCCATCGGTGACATTTGCCTGTGCGATTACATGTGCGAAAGAAACACAATAACCCAATTGAACTGGCATGATAAAATTTATTTTGAAAAAAATCATCCAAAGTTTATATGGGTGACGTCCCATGAAATTCGGAAATCAATAGGTTACATCAACCTCTAAAGCTGAAATCATTTTCCATGCTGCTCAGCTCTCTGGAAGCTGATCTCAGGTGTAGAGGAGGCGGCAGGGAAAACGAGATCTGGGTCAACACTGTTTCATTACTATGATTATATATATATTATGTGTATGTTATATAGGTATATACATGTAATATCATATTGATAATGATAGATAATGATAATAATAGTGAATATGTCACCATAATAATAGTAACAATAACAATAATCATGATAATCATAGTAATAACATGTAATAACAATAATGATAATATAATTCCTCAATTTTGTGTCATTTCTGCCTGCAATGTCTGCCAAGCTGCAAAATATGCCACAGGATGGGTATGCTCTATGCAGAGGATCACACAGGTATGGATCCAGAAGATCAGAATATCACACAGCATCGCAGGAACCGAGGTATTGCGCAGTTCTTGGATTTGTACCATACTTGCAAAGAGAGCCTAGCATTTCTTGAAGAAATTGAAGAAGCGGAGAGAAAAAAAAAACTTTCCAGTACTCAATCACCAGGTTTGACTAGGGACCCCCAGTAAGCAGATTTCCTCTTAGTGTGTTTGGGGGGGCAGTAAGCAGAAATGCATTTTAGTGCCGGTTACTGTGAACCCCCCAGATAGGAATCTGCTTACCACTGGCTAGGGAGGAAATCTGCTTACTGGACGACAATGACTTTAATGTAACCAAGAAACACACATATTGAGTATATCCTACATTCATATTCTATGATCAATGGGTCGGTTACTGAACATGGGGATACCGGATCCTCGAAATGGCAAGTTGAAAATGGGGAAAATGGTGATGAAATGAAACAGGCATCAAATTTTGGACTAATCTATTTCCATTTCGAAACATGGCTTGCCGGAAAACCCTCCATTTTGTTCCATGATGTCCATTTCACTGTTCAGTTAGTTACTGTGATTTCTCAGCCATGTTTTGACTACCCGAGGGTATAGTGCAGAAATATATATATATATATTATATATATACACATAATCTGTTGCTATAAATGAAGATATGTGCTTCTTTACTAACCAGCTACAATTTCATACAGGATGTCAACCAGATTTGCCATGAACATTGGGACACAACGGATAGCGGTTTACGGGTTTACATGCTTTATATATTAACTAGCAAACGCCTACCGAGACAACCATGTAATTAGTCGTCGTTTAACCTTGTTTATACACTTGTGCAGTATATCTATATCATATATATATATATATAAACTCAATTTTACAATCATATAAATCACATTATGATATATATTCAGCATCACCCAACATCATATATACATGACAATGATGGAATATGTAGTGTACACATATATAGCTCCTATGATCCACGAAGGAGCCAAGCCTGGTACCGAGCCGCAGTGCTGCACCGGGCCGCGGCCAACCACAGATATTACAGATCCGGTGAAAACACGACCTGCAGGTGATTGCTGGTGTGTTTTTCAGGGAAAGATTCCTGGGTTATAACGACCGCGACCGAAGCCTGGAATCATGGTGGGGAATCATCCCCAAATAGCCGAACTTTTCAGGTGAGTGAAATATTGTAATTTTCTCAGGAAAGATGGACGCCACAGAAATTCATGGCCATGTCCACTGGAAAATCATCGACTCAATGTTGGGGTCCGGAGTGTTTTTGCTGCTTCAGAAGTATGGGATTATAAAGAATGATGAACAGAGGGGGTAGGATGGTGAAGTCTCTCAGAGATGTTGTTCTGCGGCTTTTTCTTTTTAAACCACCGATTCTTAGAGAATCTTTCACAACGGCTCGGAGTTACTCTTCAGCTTTCGGTAATCCCTGAAACATGGCAATGGAAAATTCCCGATTTATACATCATTTCCCCATTAAAGGCTTCATTTATAGGCACTTTCCCAGTCAGCCATGTTGGATTTTTTCTGATTGAGGATTGGAAAATTAACAGCCTGACAATTTGTCCAATTCTACCAGATCATCTGATCATATCTGCCAGATATCGATATCTTATCACTTGACCAGACTCCTACGTAGATTCAATAGATGCACAGAAAAAAGTGGCAAACTCAAGAAAATAGACCATCATGACCATCCCCAATTGGATGTTTTTTTCTGGCAGTCCCAGTACTGGTCCAACGCTCAGAGATCCAGAAGCTGTCAGGCTCTGCCGGCAGTGAACAGTTTTGCTCAGACGCGCGGTCCGGTTTTGACGACTTGTGCCAATAAAGCCCAGCCATGCCCGAGATCACGAAGTCCGTGAAGTTCCGGGTCGAAAAGAAGAGTGGTTCATAGTGTTTCCAAAACGTCCCTTAGTTCCGGGCACTACCAGTTCAGCATTGGACTTCAGTGCATATGATTTGATGGGGATTACTCAAAGGTTCACCAGCGAACAGGAGCTGCTTGAAGTCCCATTGATCACTGGTGTGGCTTCGTGGTAAAGGTTAACATGCAGATGCCATGAAATGCCAAGGAACCTCATCGTTTTCCTTGGGATTCCTTCCTTTCAAATTGAACATCACACCCATTATATTTCATTGCAGCTTATGCATTTCATGTCCACTAAGCAAGAATTGCGAGTGCAAGACACGACCATCGCGAGCATTTGATCAACAATTGTAGAAGTACGACCGAAAAGACTCAGAGTATAACCAACTATCATGCTCGTACATCCAGCCAAAGCTGCCATTTGACTAAACAAGAATCACTTGCCATGATTTTCGTAAAACTACAGTGCATTTTTGGGCGGTTCAATATGTACTGTATATTGTCGGAGGCAATTTATCTTGCATGTGGCAAGTGGCGTCTTCTAGAATGTCACCAATTGAAGCTAGCACTATAAATCTCCTAATTAGCCCTTTATTAGCCCGGGGAAAAAAATCAAACGGTGCTTTCCATTTGCATTTGTTTCAGTTCACCAATTTCATAAAATTTATCTACCATCTGGTAAACTAACATAACTATGGAAAATCAATTTTTTTTATGGGTAAATCAACTATAAATGGACCATTTTCAATAGCTAACTGTTAAATTACCAGAGGGTAGGTGATTCAGTTGGCCATCTTAAATCCTATGGGCGTTTGATAATAACCCACAGGTCTTGGACAACTGAGGTTCGATAACATTGCCCGTGAGTGGCGCTGCAAATGGTCCGACGACAACGAGAAGGTTCTGATGGTTTGGAGAAGATCAGCCAACCCAAAACAATTATGTAGGAGATCTTGGAATTTTAAACTAGCAACAATGAGTGCTTAAGCAACAAAAATATGTGTTTAAGCAACTAAAATAGGGGTTTAACATGGTTTAACAATGTTTAACCAAGCACACAGTCAGTATTGCCATTCAAACTGGGGATTCAAACCAAATCAAGATTAAGCATATTCAAAATCGCCAGCAAAGACATGGTTTCGACAATGGTGATATGGAATAACACCAATGGGTATATCAACGAACTCAAATTTGAAAAGAGCAAAAAGTGGATACAACACATTCACGAGTTACAAACAGATACCGAACCGGCCCGTCAATTATGATTATCATTTGTCCACTACATTTCTTTCAAATCCAGACCAGTTAGCCTAGTTATAAGATATTGTAGAGCAACACTTAGCTATCCAAGATTGGCAATAATACATCACAGGGGTTTTGAACTAGCTTTTGAATCATAGGCTTCTCATAACCCCGATTACCCGGATAATCTGGGATAAGTGGAGCAACTGATCTCAAAATTTCCACGCGGTTTGGTGGCTAAATAGTTATAGTCATCTGCAATAAGATAGAAAAGTACCAGTAACCCCCAAGGCCCTACTGATGATTTTTGTTCTACAGAAATGCTTCGTCATCATCCACTCAGAAAAAGTCATCATCCACATCCATTCACAGATAGAAATGCTTCCACTCTCCACATCAACCAGGTTATTATTAACCGTCATTAACCATATATTAACCATATATTAACCATTATTAACAGTATTATCCACTCTCCACATCTGTCAGGCCTCCCTGGATGCGGCGCAGAAAGCTTTGGACGATGTCCTGGCAGATCTGAGCTCAGTGCCCTGGCGGGGACACCCCACCTGGGAGCCCCACTTGACCTGGGAGCCCCACCTGGGACCGGGGGTGAAAGCACCAAAGATGGGGCAAAGATAGCATCAAAATGCATGAAATTCGCATCAAACATGCAGAATTCACCATGAAGAACGGTGATGTAAAAAAAACATCCAGAATCCAGACAAAGGATTTGATGGCATATGAATCAAAATGAATGGACAATAGATCATGTTGTGGGGAAGTTTGTGGTTTTTAACCATGACTAACTAGCAACAAATCAGACTTAACCAGCAGCAACAACAGGGATCTTGATGGGATTTAATGAGGATTTCATGGGAATGGGATATATAACGAACCAGAATCACCAATTATGGCAATTTACTCTCCGACACAAAGATTACAGTGGATCTAACCAATGGAATGGGGTATGAGACCAACCTGATTAGGGCCCCGCAAACAAAGTGAAAAGACAATTTTTAGGGGAAAACTGAGGTTTTAATCCATTGGAAGTGGGATATCCATGGATACCCCATTTTTCAGACACCAGTTTTTGGCAATTTGCACACTATTTGCACACGAAATTGACATGATATGGCTGGAGATCAGTGGAAATCCACAGAGCTCACCTGAGGTTGAGGGTGTGAACAGCGTGCAGCGAGTGGTTTGCGGCGGGTGCTTGGACTTTAAGGCCAGGGCCAGTGTTTTTGCCCTCGACATCAGGAGTTTATCAACATTTCTGGCAGATCACAGATGAACCAGTGGAGCCTTTCTTTTGTTAAATCGCCAATTCTTGGTGGAAATGAAAGGGACCGGAATTTTTCGGGGTATCTCATTCCACGAAACAGGTCTTTTGCCCATGAGGCTGTGATGGTTCACCGGTGCTCCCAAACGATGGCTAAGTTGGTGAACATAACTCCGATAACGAGGACTTATTTCATAGATATGGGTTCAACAGTGTATGGAACTAGTTTTTTTTGGGGTGAAACTAAACCAACAAACACCAATTGGGGGCATCTTGGGGAAAACACTGGGCCCTACTTACTCTACTGGTGTTAGAAGCCATAGTTGGATAAGTTGTATCCCAGGTATCCCAGGTATCCCATCTGTTAAAAGCACCATAGGATGATCCTTTGGGAAGGCTCCTGCACCTCTTTGTATGTACATTTGTTGTGTGTTATACAGTTTATATGTATACTGTATACACTATAAATATACATGTAGTGCATTACTGAATTACATTGTGTATACATATTATGTATGTAAAATTATGTATATACATATTACATGTTGATACATTGTGTTCAAACTTAATACATATAACACACACATATACATATATGCATATACATGCAGGTGGCACAATATGTATATATATACATAGTTATGTTTAAGGCATTGCACATCTATCTATCTATCCATCCATGTATCTATCTGTCTATCTACCTATCTATTTATCTATATATCTAACCTCATCTATATCCTGGTCCTAATCTAATCTAGTCTAGTCCGGTCTACGGAGTTCAGTCTAGGTCAGTCTAGTCCAGTCTGAACTAGTCTGATCCTATCTCATCTTCTCTCATCTTATATTGTCTTATCTAACGTATCTTAACTTAGTCATTGATCAATCGATCTATCGAATCGATCTATCTATCTACCTATCTATTAGTATATATATATAGAGTAGATTTAAATGTACATGTCCAGGTTCAAGAGCCCCTTGCAGGTAGTCACCAAGTTGACTGCTGCTGGCTTCAAAGAATGGGAGAAGGCCAAGTTTGCACCAGAGGTGCGCGGTCCGCGTAAGTTTGGTTGCTTGATCCTCATGGCATGCCCGGTTGCCCTGTTGCCCTATCTAATGCCTATGTTGCCCTATATTTATGTTATCATCATGGTTACCTAACAGTTGATTCAGTGGAATTTTAGATCCCAACATGAATCAACGACCATTGGTCGGATAGAATGATGCAACCATTGGCTGTGGAGATATATTGGTGATAAACTGGGAGATATAATCTAATATAACCAACAAGATGCTCCGGGGTTGTCCGGAAATGGACTATTTATTTGGTAACCGGAAAATGTGTTGCTAGTCATTCAGGTTGGACAAATCAAGAAAAAGGTTGGACAAATAAAAAAAAGTTGGACTTGGGAGTATCACATTTTCTCACCAGTAATATGAAAATCCAATTATATAATTATTCGATGCGTGTAGCTAATCTGAGCAATGACCAAAACCCACCAGAACCCCTGTCCCTTGGTTATGAAATATGGGGTTAGCCTCTAGTAAACTGACAGTTTGTGAAGTGGAAGATCACCATCTTTATTAGTATGTAAATCATCTATAAATGGGCCATGTTCCATAGCTATATAACACTTTCCTTGAGGGTTTCATTGGGTGCCTGAAGCAAGCAGTCTGTCATGGGATGACACTGATCCCAGTGGGTCAGTATGGCCAGTTCACCCTGCTGGTTTATACACCAGTTCTACAGTAGCTGGTTGTTGTGGATGTTCATTTGCCCATGTGGATGATCGCACTCATTTGATATATCCAACC